TTAGTGGATATTTTATTTTGGTTAATGGATGCAATTTTTTAATTAGTTTTGGGTTTTAGATGGCAACTTATGTAATACGCTTATGATTTAATAAGCGACCCATTAGTTCTTCATTTTAATGTCATGTAATTGTTGTTTGAAATAGTTTTTTCGTATTTCTAATTTTTCAACCTAATGTATTTCAAACTAATGCGGGAAAAATTAACTAACATGTGATATTTCATGTTAAATAAATTTTTAAGAAAATACTTCACACACATTTTTACTTGTCTTTCCATTGTGTTACCCACTATGAGTCCAATAATAAGTCACCATGTTGTTAAGATTTATTTGGAGTAAATATAATTTTGCTCATTCTATTTTCTTAGTGTTTTTTTATAAATGTATCTATATAATTATATTTAGATAATATACATAAATTATTATGTAAATTTAGTTTAATTTTTAATGCCTTGTGTTTGAAAAATTATTTTATATAACTCTGGATTTTTTTATGTAGATTGGCCAAATTAAGTACATCAAGTATGAAACATAAACTTGAAATATTAGGAATACTAAAAATAATTAAAGGGCATGATTACACATGTCTATTACATTAGAAAATTATTTGCTTCAATATAAATGTATCTTAATTTTTGTATAATGTCATATTAAAATTTAATCATCCATAGAAGACAACTATTTGACCAAATTAATTAATCATAACATTTTCAAATATAATGACATTAATGGTTTGTAAAATAATGAAAACATTATATATATGTATGTTTGTTTCCATTTTATATTTTGTTTTTTTTTATTTTTAATTTAGTGGATATTTTATTTTTGTTAATAGATGCAAATTAGTTTTTCATTTCGATGTGAACTTATAGTTCCACAATTTACTTGTTTAGATATTTTTATAATTCAAAAATTATTTTGTTAAATCCCGATAAAAAACTAGCTTATACTGATTAATTTACTTATATTTTTTTATAAGTTATTAATTACTTTGTAATTTTTAATGGCTTAACATTTTGTTATCTTTCTACTTTTCTCCAATAAATTTTGGGTGGAAAAATTCCTTACAAAAATAGTTCACTTGATTGTGTTAATCAAAATACATGCGGATGGAAACTAAATTGCCAAAGGCTTTTGAAACTCTTAACTAATACTAGCTTATCCACCCATACAACACACAAATTGTAGTACCGTAATTAAAATGATGTATTATTAAATAACATTTTATTATATTTTTATAATAACAATTTGATATTTAACTTATATTATTTTATAAGTTATTAAGTTCTACACTTTAATTTATAAAATTATATATTGTTATTTTTTATTTTTATTGAGCAAATAATATGCCTATGATTTATGAGTGCCATTAGTTCTTCATTTTAATGCCATTTGTCATTTAAATGCCATGTAATTGATGTTTGAAATAGTTGTTTATCTCTTTATCATATTTGTATTTATTTTCAACATAATATTTTCAAACTAATGCGGGGAAATGCACATGTGGTATTTCATGTTAAATAATTATTTAAGAAACTAACTTCACACACATTTTTTATTTATGTTTTCAATGTGTTACCCACTATGAGGGTCCAACCATATGTCACCATGTTAGATATTTAAGATTTATTTGGAGTAACTAATTTTTCTTATTCTATTTTCTTAGTTTTTTTATATATGTATCTATATAAATATCTTTAAAAATATACATAAATTATTATGTAAATTTAATTTAATTTTTAAATTTTAATGACTTGTGTTTGAATAATAATTTTATACAACTATGAATTTTTTTATGTAGATTGACCAAATTAAGTACATAAATTATAAATCATAAACTTGAAACATTAGAATTTTTTTTTGCTGTGTTGGTTTTATTTTTTTAGGTCTTGCTATTTCTCTTCTGTTTGGTTTAGGTAATGCAGGTTGGTTTAGGTTGGTTCTCTGTGGATTGGTTGTGGTCTTAGGTGCAGCAGGTCTGCGTAAGCTCCATTTGTGTAGTGTTTGTCTAGACCACCGTATGGTGTGATCTCCCATTCTTAGTTTGGATTGAGTCTTTGGTTGGAGTTCCTAAGTTGTATTAGAACTTTTGTTCTCGGTTGTTTTTATTTAATATATATCATCCTTCGGAAAAAAAAAAGAAAAAAAAAAAAACATTAGAAATATTAAAACAATTTAAAGAGCATAGATCCATAGCACATGTCTATTACATTACAAATTTTTTGCTTCTATATAAAAATGTATCTTAATTTTTGTATAATGTCATATTTATAATTTAATCATCCCTATAAGACAATTATTTGACCAAATTAATTAGTCATAAAATTTTCAACTATAATGACAATAATGGATTGTAAAATCATGAAAACATTAAATTGTGTATCAAATTAAAAAAAGGATAAAAAAAAATTTCTAATTTTCTCCAAAAAAAAAAACATTGGGTAGAAAAATACCTTATAAAAAATATAGCAATATAGAAATTGGCTATTCCTTTTATATAGATGTAAATTGTTGGTGTAACTTCTTTGATTGTATTAAAATTATAAATACCGTTTGTAGTTTTTTTTTTTTTTAACATTAATATATCCCTTCTATATAGAATAATTGGTGTACTATTCATTACTTGACAAAATTTAATATGAAATAAACATAATTAAGGGTGATGGTTGGTATCAATTGATGCAAACCAAATGATGCACGAGAAGTAAATTGAAGAGAGAAAAATAAACGAACTATCCACCTTTTTTTCTTTCACATTTAATCAAACTTATTTCATCTATAATTTTGTAAAAATGAGATAACATTTCTAATTTATTTTTAGGTATCAATGTGAACAATTGTTAAATCACATTTCTCAATGAAGACACAAATAAATATAATATATAAAGACAATCACACTTTACTATGACATTTTTAGTTATGACCTTCATTATTTTAATTTTTATATTATATATCAGAATTTCATCCATATAATTACATTTTAATTATCCTTACGTTAATATGTCAAAATTCGTTATACTTTGCAGTATGCAAATATTTTGTATCGAGTTCAATACTTATTCTGTACTCTTAGATAAAAGTGAACATACCTAATTCAAATTGTTTATATTTAATGTTTACTAGGACATAGATTAAGATGATTAATAAGTAACATGTTAAAAACGATAGGTAAAAAATTTAAATATAAATGCTAATAAATATAACCCATTGTTCTATTAGTATTACAATAACTTTTTAGGCAAATTTTACCAAGTCTACATTATCGTATCATTTTCAATTAAAATTTAAAACTTCTTGATTTTTGACAATGTTTAGTGCAAATAAAATTATTCCACATTTGAAGTGAATAAGATTCACCCAGGCTCCTTCAACTCGAACCGGCCTCCGTACCTGCAGAACCCAACGCCGGGTGGCCCCGGCGTCGGGCCTCCGATGCCTAAGTCAGTGCTCGGATCAAGAGAGAGATAAAGTGTAGTAATGTAATGAAGAGAGGATAATGTGTGAATGAGGTACCTGGCCCCCCTTTTATAGGGGGAGTGTACCTTTGTAGGCTCAATATGAGC